TGATCTCTCCCCTGCGCTTCCGCGTTCGTCACTTCTGAGCGGCGCATGCGCAACGCCGACCTCATACGTCATCCGCCCGGAACTGCTTCCGTGCACAACAGTGAGCACAAGCTAGATTAAATTGATTATTACGTTTTGAACATGGTTATTTTTCTTACAAAAACGCATTGATTCACTACAGGAGGCCTTTGTTCACCCCTCGGAGCCGTGTGAGGCACTTTTTATTATGGATGGATGCGCTTTATTTCACTTCTTTTGGACTGATGAACTGCAACACCCGCATTGAAACAGCTTGAAAGATCAAAGTCAATTTTTAATATAACTCAGACTGGATTCGTCTGAAAGAAGAAAGTCATATACATCTAGGATGTCTTGAGGGTGAGTACTTCATGGGCTAATTTTAAGTTTAATGGACTAACGCTTTAAGTTTAAAACTTTAAAAAGCCAATGGAATTACAAAATACAAAAACAAATATGTGTGATTTACAGTGGCAGGTAGGAAACTGGAGTGTGGAATTGGCCTGCAGTTCTCTGTCTTCAGGCAGGAACGTGGCGGTCCAGGTTCATGCAAAACTAGACCGCAGTGAGATGCTCTGGCTGCAGGGGGTGCTGGGAAAACGCTGCCTTCGAGCTGCTGCCGGATACAACACTGGTGATGATGCTAGTTAACCCTAAAAAACTGCAAAAATGCACATTTCTAGGGCCTTGAAATTATCAGCATGATTACAACCTTGCTGTTGTACACAATCTACTAGATGCCTGTCATCTGACTGATAGTTTATGCATTTTTAGGAAGTAAAAAGCCTTTTAGAATAATTGTAAACACACAGGTTGTTTCATATGACTTTTTGATGTGAAATAGTTTTTTGTTTATAGAGTAAATCTAAGAATAACTTTTATATTGTTAGTAAGATGAACACTTACTGGATTGAAGCAGCTTAGGTTTACATGATTATCCAGACATTTTTTTTTTCTTTTATAAAAATCATATTAAAATCTGCTTCTGAAGAGCATTTATCACCACTGTGTTCAATTGGATTATATGCTCTAATTATTAATAAGATGGGGGTTTTTTCCCATTGTTTATGAGCCATAAAAGCCTGATGTATCAAGTGTTACTGAACAAAAACTCGTATGCAAACTTTTTTATAAAGATTTTATTTACGACTATTATTTGAGTATTTATTTATGACTATTATTTAATAGTCAGGTTTTACAGGGTTAATAACTCTGCTGTAACAAGTGATTATTTATCATATATTCTTATGAATAACATTTGTATGCCTTTCTACTTGCCGTCAGAAATGTCTGATGAAATCAGAGTGGCGTTTTGTTCGGAGGGACATCACTGGTTTACCCTGGAGGCTCAGCGAGGCGGCCGTGGCATTGAAAATGAGACCCTTACCCTTATTTCTGTAGGAGCAGCCAATCAGAGTCTGCTATTTCAAGCTAAGGGATGTAGGGAATGCCTGTGGGCCGCTGAGGTGAGGACAGCAATGATTTATGAAGTTTCTCGCATAATATAAATCTGCCAGATACCTTGTAAAACATTGTTTTTCATGTCTGGATTGATACCGAATCTTTACAGGCACGGCTCCAGCAGCTGGGGTCTCGGATGAGGAGTAAACTCTTAGACAGAGTTCAGAGACTTCAGCATCTACTGTTAACATTAAGAAGACAGGTTTGTTATATCTCACAGGCTGTCCTGCTGCATATTTGGACTATGTTAAAGGGTTAGTTCAGCGGAAAAAAAAAAGAAAAATCACTTCAATCATTCACCCTCATGTGGTTCCAAACCTGTATGCCTGTCTGTCTTCTGTGGACCATAAAAGGAGATGTTTTGAAGAATGTTTCAGTGTTTTTTTTTTTGTTGTTTTTTATCCATACAGTGAAAATCTGTGGGGTTCAGTTTTGGACACCACTGACTTTTACTGTATGGACAGTTGAGACATTCTTTAAAATATCTTCATTCCACAGAAACTGTGATTTGTAATATGAAACAGTACAACTGTTTTCAACTTTGATAATAATAAAAAAATGTCTTGAGCACCAAATCAGCATCTTTGGAGCTCTGGTAACATATTTGGTAACACTGAAGACTGGAGTAATGATACTGAAAATTCAGCTTTGCCAATACAGGAAAATTTTTTATTTTAAAATATTTTAAATAAAAAAACATTATTTTGAATTGTAATAATATTTTACAATGTTACATTTTTTTTACTGCATTTTTGATCAAATAAATGTGGCCTTGATGAGAATAAAATACTTCTTTCAAAAACATTAAGAAATCTTACCAACCCCAAACTTTTGACATTTACATTTATTATCCAAAGCAACTTACAATGAAGGAATACAACAAGTGATTCATCACCTTTTGAAAGGTAGCATGTATTTAATAAATCTCTCTACCAGCTTCATGAGGTGCATCCTGGGATGCTTTTCAAAAAGGACTGAATGAGTTTCCATATATGCAAGACCAACTCATATATTTGGTCCAACTCATCTAAAACAAAATATTAAAATAAAATTGTAGTTTTTATAAATTACAAAACAAATTACAGCATATTCAAACATTTTTTTTTACTGCATTTTTGATCAAATAAATGCGGCCTTGATGAGAATAAAATACTTCTTTCAAAAACATTAAGAAATCTTACCAACCCCAAACTTTTGACATTTACATTTATTATCCAAAGCAACTTACAATGAAGGAATACAACAAGTGATTCATCACCTTTTGAAAGGTAGCATGTATTTAATAAATCTCTCTACCAGCTTCATGAGGTGCATCCTGGGATGCTTTTCAAAAAGGACTGAATGAGTTTCCATATATGCAAGACCAACTCATATATTTGGTCCAACTCATCTAAAACAAAATATTAAAATAAAATTGTAGTTTTTATAAATTACAAAACAAATTACAGCATATTCAAACATAAATTCATTTCTGTCATGACAACTCTCGGAGGGATTGGCATGGTACTGTACATGACAATGTTAATGTATTTGGTCTTGGCGGAATAGATCTGCTACGCTGCTGCTGCTGCTGCGGCAGAGTCCATTTGAAATATTTCCATTCACAAAAAAGGATGCTATATCAAATATCATGTTAATCAAGTATCATTATTCAGACTGATGCTGTCTGTCTTCTAGGCAGGGGACAGCATGTTCCTGTTGGAGCTGAGTGAGGGGCCGCTGTCTCTGACCCAGCAAGCCGAGACTCTGCTGCTTCAGAGAGCAGGAGCGCTGTGGAAAGCATGGACCACCGGCCTGCTTCGACACATGCTCACACACAGCCTACCGCACACGCTCTCGCACTGGGTGAATCACAGGAAACGCATACCTTTATTTTCTAAGATACAGAGCACATGTTTAAATGATTTTCTGTGGCAATGTAAGGTCACGTTATCCGTAATAGATCTTGACAGCATTCTAGTGGCATCACTGCATAAGCATCTGTAAACCAGTCGCAATTATGCACCAGCACAACTGTGGTTTCATGTCATCACCTTTCACTTGAAAATGCCTGTCAATGTGTATTAGTGTTATTGTAGTTTTAATTTTTCCCAGAACCCCTGGCTACTCTAGCTGGAGCGTACCACGATGTGACAGGGGTGCGTTTGGACACGGCGTGGCAGCAAGGAGTGCAGCTGTGGACCAGAGAACTGACGGAGCTTTTGCCTGCAATACTTCACGATCCTCAACTGAGGGCGCCGTCGCTGACCGCGTTGCATGTTGCCATCTTTGCAATGGACATGGCAAGAAAGATGCATTTCTCTGTTTTCCTGCTGTTACAGGGGGCGTTTACGCTACACCAATTTCAACTAAAAACAGAAAACTTTTTATGCATTAATTTATACGACAACAGCATTTTTTGGGGCCTAAAAAATGCAAACTTTTGAAAACATGCCAAGTTTTTTAAAACAATGCTCTGTGTAAACTACAAAATGCTAATTTGTAAAAACGGTGCCATCATGTGCATGTGTATTACGTGTTCAGTCTATAGGCATGAGCAAGTTTCTTTACAAAGTGACATCGCCAACTACTGGCCTGGCATGCATAACACGGCATTCTTAGTAGTTTTCGTTTTCAGTACATCGTAGTCATGTAAATGTACCCCTGGACTGTTTATTGAGCAGGATAGAGTTAATAAGAGCATGTATGTCATGTTCTTCAGGTGGGCCAGCAGACCTTCCAGTGGATGGAGGCCCGATCGGCTGCCATGCTAGTGGGTATCAGAAGGCAGCTTGCACTAATGTACAAGTTCTCCAAAAGGTATGTAGTAAATCTGCCAGAAACATGGCCTCCTTGAGCCCAGTCATTCTCAACTAAAGCCCTGCATTGTTGACAGCAATATTCAAAGGCCCCATTACTTTTTAGATGTTTGTAATAAAATGGAAAACAATTAAGGATTAGGATTTTTAAAAATAGTTTTTACTCACAATTTCTACTATAAACTATTTTAGAACTGGGCATAACTATAAAAATGTAAATTAATTCGAAAAATGCCCTTTTTATTAAAGGGAACCCTGGATAAACTTTAACTTCATTTTCCCTTTAAACTTTAACTTAGTGTACCACAAACGAGACTTATCAAATGTATATATGTATGTATAATATATTTATTTAAAAAATACATTTATAGTGCTATTCATAAACATGACTTGAATGCATCTCTTCTACAATGAGCATGTTTATCATTTCTGAATTAAAGTTTTTTTTAATGATTATTTTGAAAGCTTTAATAAAAGGATGGCATTTTAAAAAGATAACATTATGTAGTTTGGCATAGTCTTTTCTTGTTATTACTTTAGAAAAAAACTGCAAAACTGCTTATTGTAAAACCTATGACTAAGAACACAGGCAAATGAATTTTGTCTGTGACAAATGAAAATTGTTGTCACATGATAACAGACCATCAGAAATACACCATCTACTGATCATAACCATCACTGCACTCCAAAAAAAAAACAGAGTTTTGAATTGTACGTGTAGTTCGTTATGAAGACCGAGACTTTTGTATATTGGAGAACAACATGTTTATTAGCTCTCACGCACTCCAAAACACCCAAGAAACGTTGCAAGGCAGCTTTGTCATTTGGCGGTGGCATCTCTGTTATGGCCTGTATCTTGGCTGGGTCTGGTTTTAATCCATGTTCTGTGAACAGGTGGCCCACATAACTAACTTCTTTGAGCCTAATCTTGCATTTTTCATGGTTTAATTTCAGATTCACTTGCCATGCTCTGTTTAGAACCTTCCTTAAGTTCTCATTATGCTCCTTCTCACCTTTTCCTCCAACAATGATATAATCTACGATTATGGCACATGGGAAACCTGTGAAGATCTGCTCCATTGCCCGTTGGAACACCTCTGATGCTGAATTAATGTCAAAAGGCATGCGCATAAAACGATTTCTGCCAAAAGGTGTCGCAAAAGTGGTGCGTAGGGAAGATTCATAGTCTAGCTTGATTTGCCAGAATGAGCTTTTAGCTTCGAGCACTGAGAAGACGCTGGCGTTGGACATTTGTGAAGCTACCTCCTCTACTGTGCGGATAGGATGGTGAGGGCGCATAAGGGCTTCATTCAGATCCCTTGGATCGATGCATAATGCGTGGCGACCATTGAGGACACCCACTCTGTGGGCTCTGAAATGGGTGTTATGACTCCTATTTTAATCGCTTTTGCAAGAGTTAAATCACTTTCTCTGAGCAACACTTTTCTCACGCTATCATTGTCTATGCCACACACCAGTCTGTCTCTGATTAATTCATCTGTGAGTGCACCAAAGTTAATGCTTTCTGTTGTTGCTGTGACCAGCACCAAACTACGTCCCCGTGGAGCAGCTGTCGAAGTGGTGCTGTCAGTTCACTGAAATTTGGGATGAATTTGCAGAGGTAGTTAGCCATGCCCAAGAAACGTTGCAAGGCAGCTTTGTCATTTGGCGGTGGCATCTCTGTTATGACCTGTATCTTGGCTGGGTCTGAGAACAGATGGCCCACATAACTAACTTCTTTGAGCCTAAACTTGCATTTTTCATGGTTTAATTTCAGATTCACTTGCCGTGCTCTGTTTAGAAGCTTCCTTAAGTTCTCATTATGCTCCTTCTCACCTTTTCCTCCAACAATGATATCATCTACGATTATGGCACATGGGAAACCTGTGAAGATCTGCTCCATTGCCCGTTGGAACACCTCTGATGCTGAATTAATGTCAAAAGGCATGCGCATAAAACGATTTCTGCCAAAAGGTGTCGCAAAAGTGGTGCGTAGGGAAGATTCATAGTCTAGCTTGATTTGCCAGAATGAGCTTTTAGCTTCGAGCACTGAGAAGACGCTGGCGTTGGACATTTGTGAAGCTACCTCCTCTACTGTGCGGATAGGATGGTGAGGGCGCATAAGGGCTTCATTCAGATCCCTTGGATCGATGCATAAGCGGATCTTGTCAATGTTTTTCTTATGCGTGGCGACCATTGAGGACACCCACTCTGTGGGCTCTGAAATGGGTGTTATGACTCCTAGTTTTGTCATGTTTTTTAGTTCGGCTTCTACTTTGTCACGCATTGCCACAGGTATTCGGCGAGGTGGCCGGACCACTGGAGTGATGTCTGGGTTTATTTTCATTGAAAGTCTGCGAGTGCACCAAAGTTACATGTTTTTGCTTTATTTCTTAGTGTACTCACATAGGCCTCGATGGTTTCTCCTGGTTTTTGATTTCTGGTGTTAAACGAATGTCTCTCCATCGTCACGTTTGTCTCCGGATTGCACACTTCTCTGAATTTATGCTTTAAACATTCTGGATCCTCTCTTGACTCTGCTGGTGTAATTACATCTTGCCCATTGGCAGCCAGTATCGCTGGAGCATATGTGAATGAACGCTCTCTTTCAATTGCCTCTGGTCCCGCAAGATTGAGGAGTATGTAGGCTTTAGTTTTATCTGGCTTTTCACTGTGGGCTGCTGCGATAAATATGGCGAATTCCAGTTCGAATTTTCGCCAGCTTTCTGCTATGTTGCCGGCGAAGATCAGCGGGTCTGGTCGACGAAATCCTTCGGCCATTGTGTCCTCTTCTATCCTCTTTCTTTGTTGAATATTTTGACTTCTGACACCATGTAGTTCGCTATGAAGACCGAGACTTTTGTATATTGGAGAACAACATGTTTATTAGCTCTCACGTAGAGCTCGCAGCACTCCAAAACCCCTGTATATCAAACTTATCTAACCAGCAGGGGGCACTCCAACACCGGAAAGACCATATATGAACATAGCTTCCTTAAACACATCTTGACCATCTTAACTAACTGAATCGTACATCATCAGTTATCTACAGTACGTTTGATAAAGACCACCTGGATGTTGCGAGCAATGTTCTGTGGGCAAGTGAGACAAAGTTTATCTGTTTACTAAATATACACAGTGGGATGTTTTGTTTAAAATTGAGCATACCAACACTAAAACCTCATCCCCAACTGTGAAGCATATGTCTGGAGAGGGATGTGGAGCTGATCTGATGCCTGAGGGTCTGGACAGCTACAGTCATTGAGGGACCAATGAATTTGAAATTGTACAGCACATTGTCAAGACATGATCTAAAACTCATGCGGTATGACCGCAATCCAAAACACAGAAGTAAATCAACAACAGAATTCTCAAATTGCGTAAATTAGAATAGCCAAAGTTCTGAGCTCAATTTGATTTAAATGCTGTGGTGTGATCTGGAACAGAATGTTCAGGAAGCATCCCAACAAAACACATCAGCTGAAACGATTGGGCCATACAACACACCTTCAGCACATAAAATGAAAGATTGTCATTATTTACTCAACCTTGTGTGGTTCCAAACCTGTATGATTTTCTTCTGTACAACCATGTTTTTTTGACAATTTTATGTGTATGTATCTCAAACTCAAGGAGATGTGACGTGACATGTGGCCAAGTATGGTGACCCATACTCGGAATTAGTGCTCTGCATTTATCCCATCCAAAGTGCGCACACACACAGCAGTGAACACACACACACACTGTGAACACACACCCGGAGCAGTGGGCAGCCATTTTTTGCTGCGGCGCCCGGGGAGCAGTTGGGGGTTCGGTGCCTTGCTCAAGGGCACCTCAGTCGTGGTATTGAAGGTGGGAGAGAGCGCTGTACATTCACTCCCCCCACCCACATGTGAAAGAGGAACCAACTTTGTACTGCCTGAAACACATCTCTGTGCATATGCGCGCTTTGGGTGGTTCTTCTTGTGGCTTAAAATCGTGTGAACGTGTAAATTGGCAAATTAATCTGCTAATCAAATGTGTGCCGAACTGTGGGGCCTGGTCCGTACGTATCACAGATCAACTGTGATCTGTTTAACCCCTAATATATATACTGAATATATGTGCGTGACAGCTCAGAACAATCTTTCATTTACTAATTGAACATTTAATTTACAAGAAATCGTCAAACTGCTACTCCAACAATCGCATACAATGAAAATACAGAATAATTAGAACAATCATTAACGCGCAATAAATAGCAGAGTGTCATAAACACATTTTTCGCAGAACGTTCTTGCAACCTGGTAGCAACGCTTCCGCGGCCCGGTACTGGGTCGCGACCCGGTGGTTGGGGACCTCTGAGATAAATCATACTGATATGTGGCCCTCAGCACACATACAGTACATCACAAATGTTTTCCATATTCCAAAACAAACTATTTTTTCAAATATTGCAATCCATATTAAAAACACTAAATATTCATTTGGAGCATTTTAGTCTTTGTTAAAACTGTGTTTATAAGTGCTTGTACCGTTCTGTTTAGTTTATTATTGATACTCAGAGGCGGACAGTAACTAAGTACATTTACTTGAGTATTGTACTTAAGTACACTTTTTGAGTATCTGTACTTTACTTGAGTATAATTTTTTCTGGAAACTTATGAAAGCTTGCCTATACACACACACACACACACACACACTTTCATCTTAAAATCATACAGTCACTGCTGGAAAAGGTTTAGATATGCAAAAGATGCCAGAAAAGCCCACAAATTTGCAGGACTTTGGAGGATTTTTTCTGAAGAACAGCGAACAGTTTAACTGTTCAGGACAAACAAGGGACTCATGGAACAACCCTATATATGTATATATACTTTGTCCGCCTCTGTTGGTACTGTATGATGCATACAACTGAGCACTGAATCCAGTGTTTCTGAGTCAAAAATGAACCTTTAAGCTTGCCTATACACACACACACACACACACACACTTTCATCTTAAAATCATACAGTCACTGCTGGAAAAGGTTTAGATATGCAAAAGATGCCAGAAAAGCCCACAAATTTGCAGGACTTTGGAGGATTTTTTCTGAAGAACAGCGAACAGTTAGTTTGTTCAGGACAAACAAGGGACTCATGGAACAACCCTATATATATATATATATATATATATATTTTTTTTTTTTTTTTAATATATATATATTTCCAGCTCTAGACCACTAATTGAGTTAATGTAGACCCCTGAGATTTTCCTACTATTCATAAGACAGAAAATGTAAAGTTCAGCCATCTTTTACTCACCCCCATATCCTTTCAAACTTGTATGACAAAAGATTTATTTATTTTTTTGTCCATAATGAAAGTCAGTGGGGACCAGTGTTGTTTGTACCCCAAAGTTCTTCTGTGTTCAGCAGAAGAAATAAATTCATAGAGGTTTGAAACATGAGTAAATGATGACAGAATTTCATGGGAAACAAATGGTGATTATTCTCCATATGTCCATTTACTCACATCTGTGTTTGTACTTTATTTCCTCTGTCCAGATCAGGCATTTCTAGTTGCAGACGTCTATTTGGTGTCATTCGATGGACATCTGTTCAAACTCCCAGCTTCCTGTGACTTCCTCCTAGCAGCTGATGTCATCCAGCACACCTTCAGCATTGTGCTCAGATCCGACAGGTTCAAACGTCGCTCGCTTGTGGTGCAAATGCAAAACGCAAAGATTGCAATTCACCCAAATGGAGAGGTACATGTACATGTTATTATGATGTCTAATATTGGTTTCATAGCTGATTTAGAAACTTAGCATGATGTGATTAAATGGAGTAATACAAAAAAATGATTTTAGGTGGAGGTTAATTGCCACGTTGCACATATACCATACACTAACCGTGAAGTGGCTATCAGAAAGGATGTGAATTTAATTGAGGTGTCCAATGAGAGAGGACTTCGGGTATCATGTGACCCTCATCTAGAAGTTTGTAGTGTGATCCTAGATGGATGGCTTCATGGTAAGTTCATTATCTTTGTTTACTTCATTACTTTTTTTTAGCAATAAAATGTTGCCTATCATTTAAATGGTAGTACGTATACAGTATGTAAGGATTTTTCATGTTTTTGAAAGTCTCTTATGCTCACCAAGGATGCATTTATTTGATCAAAAATACAGTAAAAACAGTAGTATTGCAAAATATACAATTTATTACAACATAATACAATTTAAAATAACTGTTATCTATTTTAATGTTAATGATTGCAAAGTATTCAATGAACAAAGTTAGAAATAACAGTGTTTATTTAAAACAAAAAATCTTTTGTAAATGTAAATTTACAGTAGTTATTGATCAATTTAATGCATCCTTGCTGAATAAAAGTATTATTTCTATATAAAAATGAACAAAAATCATGGTGACCCCAAACTTTTGAACAGTATAGTATATTGTAATATACTGTAGTATATGAATATATAGTATAATTTATAATTAATTTAATTTAATAATAATTTGATAAATTATTAAAATTATAAATTATTGAATATATAGTATATTATAATAACTGTTGAATATGTCTTATGTTGTTACTGATTCAAGTACATCATTTGCAAAGCTTCATGGTTTAAATAGCTAACTCCTTCATAAAAGACAAAATGCAGAGTCTTTTTTCCCGTTTCTCAAAAAAAAAAATTGCTTTGAATCAAATGCTGTAATGTTATGATTAATCTCTGAGCTGGCTGGTTTAGTTCAAGGCCTAGAACTAGAACTTTTTTAAGTGGTTATGGAAAAAAAATAAATATGAAAATTATTTTGAACCAATGCCTCTGAAAAAGTGTCACTGTTTTGATTTATTGTAAATGCTAATATGCTGTAACGTGATGAGTTAATGGATTTAATGACATTTAAAACCACTGCTGCCTACAAAAAGTTCAACTCTCTGAGGTGAATCATTCTAAAATGCGTCATGGTTTAACACGTTATTTTAATACACTGTTTTTCAGGTGTGTCCACTGGTCTTTTAGGAACCAATGATAATGAGGCAGCTAACGAGCTTCTTCTGCCAGATGGCTCTCTCACACACAGTGTGCTTCAGTTTACTCACAGCTGGCAGGTAGTGAGAGAAACCTGTGAGAAATGCACACCTGTTCAGCATATGATATCACAGCCGGGCACAAACCACAGCACTGTTTCTATTATTTTGCTTTATATTTGCATGCACTGTGCATGCTTTTTTTTTCATGTAATAATGTAGCATAAAACAGAATGTATAAAGACTTAAAGCTATAGTTAGGCCATTCCTACAGTTTGGTGGATTTTATGTCCCCATGAAAAAATAATGCACATTTTACATAAAAATATTAATCAACTTTCATGCCACCAAATTTTTTAAGTTACTTTGTCTCTCAAACTACAGTCCACCCTGCTACTTTAGTGCTACTTACCCTTTAAATTTTTGAGCATGTCCCCTTAATCACGTGACTTTTCTTGGAGAGAAAGCAACTCCAAAAACAAAGTAAGTATTAGTCATAAACTTTTCTCTCTTTTTTCTCATTTTTAGAAGATTTATCTTATAGTGTAAATATAAGATGTCCACCCTGTTGTGTCAATATATAAAGGACATTACAATGTTTTTTTTTATTTATCTATTTATTTTGTAAATACATTTAAATTATTCCTAAAGTTTAATCTTCTGCTAGCATGTTGTTCTTTCCTACCTAGTAATGGGCTTCATTAGCTTAAAACATCCACCCTGTTACAAATTGCATTGGAACAATGCCATGTAACAGGGTGGACAAATTTCCTAGATCACATATAAAACATTTAAAATATAAAAAAAATATTTCATTATACTAGCCTGAGCTTGCCCAGAGTGTGTTTTTCTGATATACAGATATTTTTCTCCCTCTGATAAGACCAAAATAATAATTGATTTTTTACTATTTCTTTTCAACAAATCTGTTCAGTCCAAAATCTACCAAACTTTAGGAATGATCCAGTCAACTCATGTCATCGGAACCTGATTGTTTTCAGAATCAAACTTCCTTTCTTCCATTGAACAAAAATGTGAAACTGAAGAATGTTCACACTGCTCTTTTCCATTATTTAAAGCATACTGTATAGTGACCAGTGCTGAGCTCCAAAAAGGACAAAAAGCACCAAAGAATAGTGTCAACATTCATCAAAACATCTCTTTTTGTGTTCCGTGAGAGAGAAGAATGTAATGCGGGTGAATAAATAAAAACGGTTCCCTTACAAGGACTGTGTGGATCTAATGTAATATTTTCATGCTGTTTACTGTAGGTGGATTCAGAATGTGTCAGCAGGAAAGCTGAAGTCTGTCAGAATGGCACTGCTGACTCCCTGTCGTGCACATTTCTGTTCTCCTCCACAAATTCTCCTCTGAGCCCCTGTTTCAGAGTGGTAACTACTGTACTCTGTTTCCTCTCACTCAGCGACATGTGCTAACTATTACAAGCCAGTGTGTATATAAAGATCCCTTTGATTAGATTGATCAAAATACATCCACTCCTTGGGGGGGAAAGGAGAATGAAAGAATGGAATAGTAAACAACACAATTAACTTCAGATGGAGAATTCTTATTTTTACTTTGCGTTTATAAGCATTCATTTTTTCGGATGAAGCATTTTCTGTCTTTTTTTTTAGGTGGAGCCTGCACAGTTCATGATGAAGTGTGTATGTGATGAGCATGCAGATGTTTCCAGACCATCCTTTTGCACATTGGCCTCTGCCTATATCCATCAATGCCATAGAAACTACGTTCCACTGGAGCTGCCAGTGCAGTGCGGTCAGTATTTCTGCAAATGCAGTGAAATCAATAACCGTATTTTAAATAGATCACCACTAGGACTGCACAGTTTGGTAAAAAAAAAAAAAATAATAAAAATTTTAAATCACATTGTGATTAGCCTGTCAAATATTGTGGTTTTAATTTGATCAGCAACAAGGCAAGCATTTAACATCTCATTTTGCTGTTGCCTGGATATCTAAAAAGAAATAAAAATCACAGTGAAACAGCAGGTCTCATGTTAAACAGAATATGCAAAAATGATTTTGTGAATTATCAAGTAATGTAATATTTTTCCCACATCCTTTTGTATATCAGTAGCTACTCTTCACACTTTAATCCTCTATAAAAGAGACAAACTCTGATGAAAAGGGCTGACCCAAAACTGAACTGAATGAAAAATAATCCAGTTTTTGTATTGTATCTGGATAATTTTGGTCCACTAAGTTCACTTTTCATTCACACTGTGTTTGAACTCAGTCCTATTGAATAATACATTACTACATAATACATTATTATTATTATATACAATAATGTTTGCAAATGTGAACCTGAAACACTTTGGGCCCTATCATACACCTGCCGACGCAGTTGTCATTTTCATGTCCTGCGCCACGTTGTTTAAATAGCAAATGCATTTGCGCCCATTTGTGCGCTCATGGCTGATAATTTTCAGAGCTAAAAGTAAGAAATTCTGATAGCTTGGAATGTAAATCAATGAGATCTTTATGACTGCTTACATAAAATACATATGAATATCAGTTGCTACTCTGTCTCCCAATAATATGATCTTATCATTAATAAAAATATATTTTACTGCTTGGTTTTATGATCAATGCGCTGCAATTTTATTGGTCAGGGGTTAAACATATGATGCAGTGCAATGCAGTGATGTTTGAGAGATTAACAAATGAACATTCCTCAATGTGATGATCATTCATGTTTAACATAAATGTGCATCTTGAAATATTAATAACAATATAAAAGTTATTCTTACATTTACTTTAAAAATCATAAAAGATTTCCCAAAAAAGACGTTATGAGACCGTGATGTTTTTACAATTCTACATAAATTATACTTTAATTATACTTATTTGCTCAAAAAGTATAAGGTTACTTTTTTTATTCAACAGTTTTTTGCTCAGCAGATTCAGCAGATTTTTGATCATAATTTAGACGCCTTAGAAATAAATAAAAAACATACTGTATCGTATTTCATGTATGGTTAACAATATCATGTCATGTCATATCAAAAATGTCATGGGGCCCTATCATACACCGGGTGCAATGCGGCGCCAGGTGCGACGCAAGTGTTTTTTGCTAGTTTCAGTCTGAAGCAGTTGTCATTTTCACATCCTGCGCCCGCCACGTTGAATAGCAAATGCATTTGCGCCCATTTGTGCGCTCATGGCTGTGCTGGTCTGAAAACGAGGTGTGTTCAGGCGCATTGCTGGCGCGTTGCTATTTTGAGGCAACTGACATAGACTGCGCCATTGACCAACAAAAACCTGGTCTAAAGTCAAGTAGTTTTTTTGTTATTTAAAGAGCGTGTTAGTATAGGCGGGTCCACAGCGCACGTACACTGCTTATTACACACACAGGGATGCACAGCAGCACAAAAGCATGCCACATATTAAAAATTAAAGGATTGCAATGTAAAAGAGTATTATTGTGTAGGCTACATAAATATAAAAATGCCTACATGTCATAATGGATAGTCATTGCATGTATCAGAATTAGGCTACCTACTTGCTCGCGCACAGGCAGCTCCGTTTCATCTCTGAGAGCGTTC